ACATATTGTATTGCATATATCTGCTGCACGAGGCCTCTTTAAAGTGTTACACAGCAAGGATGTCACTTTGAGGACTAAGGTGCACCTGACCCAAGCTGTAGTATTTTTAATTGCCTCATATACATGTGAAATCTGGACAATGAATAAGGAAGACTGTAGAATTGGTGCATTTGAGCTATGGTGTTGACAAAGAATACTGAATATACCTTTGACTGCCAGAAGAAGGAACAATTCTGTCTTGCAAGAAATAAAGCCTGAATGCTTCTTAGAAGAGACAATGGAGAAACTTTGTCTCTCATGCTTAGGACATCCAAACGACCAGTCCTGGAGAATGGCATCATGCTTTATAAAACAGAGGGTCAGTGAAAATGAGGAAGATCTTCAAGGATATAGAAAGACACAGTGGCTACAACAATAGCCTCAAACATATCAATGATTGTGAGAATGGCTCAAGACTGACAGTGTTTCATTTTGTTGTCCACACTCAACAGCACCTAAAATTCCACTGGATGGAGGAAGTACAGTTGTGATAGAAACCGTATTACACATTTATGTTTGCTTCGCATTTTTCTTTTCTTTTATCACCTTTAAACATTTAACTTTGTTTCATAATTATGTAAAATAGTTAAAAAATCAAATTATATACCAAAATGACTCACTTCTCCCGTGGATTCAGTTTCCTACTATAGTATTATATTTTGAAATTTATGGCTTCTTTCCATTTTCAGAAATAAAAAGATATTACATTCATATACACATGCTTGTTGTTATAAATTTATATTCCCCAATTTCTTAGATTAAAGGGTATCAATGTGCAAACATTTCCTCGTCTGTTCTTTGCACTTAATCTGTCTTGCTGTTCACTGTATAAACATTATTGAAGATGGACATAAATGACAAGTTCTATTTTTATTGTCGTTTCTTGTACTTTGGTGGCTTGTATATTTCTGGATGCTATGCCAGTATTTTAAATACCAGCAGTGTCACCCATGGTGGCCGAGTTTTAGTAGAACTTCCAGACGAAGACAAACTAGGAAGAAGGAGAGGTGAAAATTTCATGAATATCAGCAGAACATTGTCAGTTATAGTGCTGGAAGATGAGCTCCTCAAGTTGGAAGGCACTCAAAATATGACTGGGAGAGCTACCTCATCAAAGTAGAGTTGATCATGATGACATGGGAGCCTAGCTTTCCAGACCTTCATCTGCTGATGGGGCCAACTCAAAATGAGAGGAAACAGTTGAAATTTTCCATTAAAAATTTGAAAATGAAATGTATGACATATTAAAATAGGAAAATTAGAAGTTGTCAAAAATGAAATGGAATGCATAAAGATCAACATCCTAGGCATTAGTGAGCGGAATGGCCATTCAGAATCTGCCAGTCATATGGTTTAATTGCCAGGAATGACAAAGTCAAGGGGAATTTCATAACATTCATCATCAAAAATTACATTTTAAGGTCTGTCTGTGTGACAGGACAGGATACTATCCACATGCTTACAAGGAAGACCACTTAATACCACTATTATTTAATTTATGCATCAACCACTAAAGCAAATAATGATGAAATTAAAGGTTTCTACTAACGTCCTTAGTCTGAAATTGATCAAACGTGTTGATAATTACTAGAGATTGGAATGTGAACATTGGAAATAAAGAGGTAACAACCACAGTAATGGGAAAATACGACCTTGGTGATAGGAATGATGCTGGAAGTTGCATGATAGAAATTTACAAGACCAATGACTTATACAGGCAAATCCCTTTTGTAAATAACATAAAAGATAACTATACACATGGACCTCACCAGATAGGATACACAGGAATCAAATTGTCTACATCTGTGGGAAGACACTGTGGAAAAGCTCCATTATCATTAGCCAACAAAAGGTCAGGGGCTGACTGTGGAACAGACCATCAATTGCTTATATGCAAGTTGATCATATGAAGAAAATTAAAACAAGTCCACGCTAGCCAAAATATAACCTTAAACATATCCCACCTGAATTTAGAAACCATCTCAAGAACAGACTTGATGCATTAAAGACTAATGACCAAAAATCAGAAGAGTTGTGGGATGACACCAAGAACATCATATAGGAAGAAAACAAAAGGTCATTAAAACGACAGGTAAATAAAAGACCAAAATGTATGTCGGAAGAGAGTCTGAAGCTGGCTCTTGAGTGTAGATGCTAAAGTGAATGGAAGAAATAAGGAAGTATGCCCTACTCAAAGGGCAGCTTGAGAAGACAAAATCAAGTACTATGATGAGATGTGCAAAGACCTGGAGTTAGAAAACCAAAAGGGAAGAACATGCTCAACATTTCTCAAGGTGAGAAAACTTAAGAAAAATTCAAACCTTGGGTTGCAATGTTGATGGATTCTATAAGTAAAATGAAGTCCTGGTGTGGTGCTGTAGGATAAACACTAGACCACAAGGTTGGTTTGAACCACAAGTCAGTGCTTCAACTACCAGCCACTCCTCAGAAACCCTATACAGGGTCACTGTTTATTGTTCTTTATTCCTTACTGCATTTCTTTCCTACTACCTAAACAACAACAACAACAAAAAAATCCCCTTTGAAACCTATTACAGCTGTAATGATGGTGGATTTTACAAGAGTGAGTCAAAAATTATCCACATTCTGGTTATTTTAAAATGCCCGTCCTAATGACAACATTGAGCATGCATGTGAAATGATTCTGTTGAATAGATGAGTGACAGTGGATTATGTGGCAGATCATTTGCAAATCAGCCATGGCTCTGCCTATGAAGTAATCCATGACAGACTTGGGTTTCAAAAAGTTTGTGCGAGATGGGCACCAAAACAACTCATGGAAGAATTTAAACAGAAGCGTTTGGATATCTGCAAACAAAATCAGACTGATACTTGAAGGAAGGTAAATATTTCTTTTAAAAAATAGTTACTGGTGACGAGACATAGATGCATCACTGTGAGCCTGAGAGTGAATGGCAGAGTATGGAATGGAAACATCCTTAATCACCGGTCAAGAAAAAGTTCAAAAGTCAACCATCAGCTAGAAGATTGATGGTTAGAGTTTTCTGGGATCCTCAAAGGCTAGTTTTGTTGTTGTTAAATGCTGTTGAGTTGGTTCTGTTTCTGAGGAGTTGCTGGTGAGCTCGACCTTGCCATTCAAACCAACCTTATAGTCCAGCGAATTACCCGCAGAGCCACACAAGGGCCAGTAGTGGAACACTATCAGGAAAAAGTTTCAACAGTTGACGTTGGTCATTACAGTCAGGCGCACACTGAAGAGCTGAAGCCTAAACTACATATTAAACACAGTGGACTGTATCCAAGGGCATTGTGACCTTCATGACATTGTGCTTCCACACACGTCTGCCCACACTGTTGACACTTCAAAAACTTCATTTTGAGGTGTTGAAGCATCCTTCCTATACTCCTGATCTTGTCCCATCGGACTTTCACCTATTTAGTCCCCTCCCCTGAAAGCAGTCCTTTCAGGGCAAAGATTCACCTCTTATGAAGAAGTGAAGATAGCGGTCCATTCATGACTCACAGCTCAGCCTAAACATTTTAAAATATGGGAGTAGGAAAGCTTGTTGACAGATGGACAAAGTGTATTGAAAAACAAGGAGATTATACTGAAAAATGATGTAGAACTTAAAGTAAGGTCTGCAGCCAGAGTGTGAATAATTTTTGACTCATCCTCAAAGCATGTTGTGGTTGCATGAAAATGTCTGTTACCTCATTTCTCAAAAGGGATTTTCACAGAGCCTGGAATTCTAGATCGACAATTTCCATCCACTCCTTCCTGACTTTTGCTGTTGCTGTTCAGTAGTCAGCTGTTTTTCACAAATTTGAAGGCACTCTGCATTGTGTTTCTCTACATTGTGTTTTCAGTGTATGAGAGGGAAGGAGTTGTGCATTTAACTCACAGTGTTTCTTTACTTTAGTCCTAATTGTATGTGTTCGTGGTATGTTGTTACCATCTGTAGTTAATTTCCTTAATTTTGATTAAGTTTTCTTGTTCCTGCGCTTCTGAGAAGGTTTTAGTAAATGTTCACGCTTTTCCTTTTATCAGGTTTTTTTTTTTCTGTAGTCATTCTTCCTAAATAAATGCTGCTTTTTCTCTTTTCTTAACTTGTGATTCTAGTCTTTATTCCTCCTTATTAGTAATAACTGAGATATCCCCTTCTCTGCAAAACCAACTAGACTTTTCTTCATGAATGGTTCAAATGGATTTTTATCCAAATCGAAAGGTAATTTACATGTATCTAGAAAAGCATTTGACTACTAACCACAAGGTGTGTGTTCAAACCCACCAGCAGCTCCTTAGAAGCCTCATACAGAAGTCATAACTATGAGTCAGAACGAACTCGACAGCACTTAACAATAAAACTTCAACAACAGAAACTTAACATGATTTTTCTGACTCTCAAGCCTTTTTTCCACCCATACCCCAATATATGAGATTAACTATCATGCTGAATTAGAAACTATAAAGTATTATGGTGAATTCTTGGCTTTAGTGTATTATGTTTAAAACTAGGTTCTTATTGCCTTTAGTATCGTTGGCCTTAGTTTGAAGTTAGATTAGCCTAAATGAATGGCACTGTTTCTTAGATCAGTTATGGCAACAGGAAGTGATTGGTTACTTTGGGGTAAGGCCGAAGACTTACACATTGTTTTCCCACAGTAGGCATGGTCCTGAATGGTGGGTGTTTATAATGGATGGACAAATTATGGATATATGATCTCACGAGGTTTGTGTGTGTTGGTCATGACCTTGCTTCTATCAGCATTCATTGTATGTACATGGCAACAGGTACAAAAGTCTTAGACAGTAGGCTGGGGAGAGATGATAGCTGCTGCTAGGATTGTGCCTTAGATAGGAAATTAGTCCAAGGTTGAGATGAATTTCCAATAAGGAAGAGTCCAAAAGTGAAGGATAAGACACATTTGCAATTTTGTCTTATGTGAAAAAGATTAACATGTCTCTTTTTTCTCCAAAGCCAGTGCTAAAAGTCTACCAAGATCATAAGCAGCCAGAATACATACATGAACAGAACCAATTTCATTTAATTTCTTCTGGAGTCCTAAAACCTCCCATAATCACTAGAGACGGAAGTTCAGCTGAATCTGAATCACTTGCTCACTTTCTTGAGTATGAAGATGCTATGCAAAAAAAGCAGGTAGAGTACTAAAATACCTAATTGACTCTGTAAGTTTTATACAGTATTGTCAGTATCCTTTTCCCTCATAAAATAGCAAAAGATTTTTCTATCAGGCTGTATAATGGGTTTGGAGAATATAAGATTTCTTAGTTCCTATTTAAAGAAATCTTGAGTGTGGAGGAAAATCCAAAAAGAAACTCTCAACATTTATACACATATCTTATGATGCTTTCTTCCATGTTAAAAGAAGACTAAAGAATGCTTTGAATGTTATAATGCATATGAAATTTTCATCATAATTACAAAGAAAAACAACTACAGTCATTGAAGGTCTTGATGAAGGGCAATCAAGTAGTAACTGATCTAACTAGAAAGACAGTGTTTATAGCTAGTGAGAGTTATAAAGTGAGGGAGCTGTCTCCTAAGAAATAAATTAATGTAGTTAAGGGAGACATCACCAGAGCTTGGATTCATAGGAATACCTATAGTTAATTATACAAGGAACAGAGGTGGTTGGACATGTGAAGGGCACACCCCAAATAAAGATACCAATAATGCTTTTTTATTGAGAAGATCCTTCAGTATTCATGAAACATTTCAGTGCTAGTTGACACTAGGCTAGAGTGCTAGAAATGAAGAGTTGAAGGCAAGCTTTGTCCTTGGGAAGGTGGACAGATGCACAAGGGAACACTCAAATGCAGTGGGTTATGATTTGTCATTAAAGTCATTCTGGTCAGTTACTTGCTTTATGTTAAAAACTTACTGTTTTTTGTTTTCGCCTTTAATGTTGCTGCCTTATTTTGAAGTTAGATTAGCCCAAGATAATGCCACCATTTCTTAGGTCCTCAATCAGTTATGGCGATAAGAAGTGATTGGTTACTCGTGGGTAAATACTCTCATTGGTCACTTAAGGTACCACATGCTGAAGTAGTGCTAGAGGAGACACTTACACCTAGGGGAGGGGAAGCCACCCTAGGAATTTGTACTACGTTATACTAAGTTAATGAGCTTGAGAAGGTGAAAGAATCAGGGCCTTGAAGAGAAGCCAATAGTGAGCTCACTGTGCATTTGGGTGAGCTCATTCTGGCAGAATGAAATCATATACTAAATTGTATGAAATTGTATAGACCCAGGTACTATGGCTTTTGTGAAGGGCAGAGGGAGAGCGAGCTACCTTAAATAAGACCAGAAAAGATCTCATTGCCCCGAAGTTAATTCATTTGCTGTTGAGTGGAACTTGAATTTAAAGAAAAAGCCTTTAAAGGGGAGGCATTTTAGGGCTATCTGAAGGAGAAGTTCTGGTTTGGCACCGTAGAATAAGCACTAAACCGTAAGGTGGGCAGTTCAAACCTACCAGCTGCTCCTCGGAAACCCCATACAGGGTTGTTGTAAGTTGGAACTGACTCAATGGCACAGAACAACAACAACAACAAGTGCTGAGAAGGAATATCAGCTTTTAGGTTAAGCTTCCTACTTGTAGCAGTTAAGAGGGATTGAAGGGAGACATGGGAAAAAGAGGAGCATAGATATGAAAAGATGCTTATTCTAAGTAATGGGTCACTTTTTTTTTTTTTTTAAGTTTTTATTGTGAATTAAGTGATACTTTACATGGGAGAATATCAGCTTTCCATCCATCCTATCGTATTTTGTTTCATTGCAATGATTACAATCCCTTCCATGCACCATCATTCAACAGCATGCTTCCATTCCCTCTGGGTTTTGTGGTTTTTTTTTAGATGTACAACAAAGCACTCAGGAATATATAGCCATTCAAACAACCAAAGGGTATGCTCTGCAATTTACCCCCACCGGCTGTCAGCACACAGCCCCTCTCCCTCTTTGAGTCCACATTCCGCAACCACCCCATCTCTCCCTGTCATCGTCTCTGCCTTCATCTCTAGCATCAATGCTTCTCTGAATAGGGTCCTGCACTCTGCTTTTCTCCCTTGATGGTCCCAGAGTCCTCCACTCTTGGACTGCAAGATCAACCACTCCCCTTCTTTTGTTATTGGGTCACTTTTTGTATCTACATTTCTTGGAGTGAGTTTAGAATGGAAATGCAACACTGAGGATTTCTTGGCAGATAAGGAAAGTTGGAGGCTTCTAGTAATTAAGGAAGATACTGACTTGTCAGATTGAATTGAGCATCTATCACAGAGGTGTGCTATACATAGATGTTCTGTTCTTATAAATAAATACTTCCTTTAAAACCTTCACCCCAAATTTGGTATATATACATAAATGTAATGCGTAGAATTGAATCACATCTTCCAACTAATCGTTTGTTTTTGTTGTTAAGTGCCATCAAGTACGTTTCAGCCCCAGTGACACTAAGTACAGCAGAATAAAACAATGCCTGATTCTGGGCCATCCTCACAGTACTTGAGCCCATTTTGTACCCGTGGTGTCCCTCCAGCTACTGAATTACAGAATCAGAAATAAATGCTCCACTGAAACAGTGTAGCCCTAGTGTGGGAAAACGTTCACTTAGAGGCAGTAAAACTTTTACAGGATATATTAATGGGACAAAATTCCTTTTTACTCTCATAAAATATGGATTAATGCACTGGACTACAAAGTTGGTTTGGACCACAAGGTCGGCGGTTCAAGCTCACCAGCTGCTCTTCAGAAACCCCAGTGTTGCTATAGGTTGGAACCAACTTGCCGGCACTTAACAACCACAACAATCCAAAACCAAACCAAAGCCACTGCTATAAAGTTAATTCTGTCTCATAGTGACTCTATATAGGGCTTCTGAGACTGTAAATCTTTACAGGAGCAAACAGCCCCTTCTTTCTTGCGTGGAGCACTGGTGGGTTTGAACCCACATCTTCCTAAATTTAGCAGTCCAATACTTATCTTACAGAGTCCTGTTGAAACATTCAGATTGGTGATGTGAGATCGCTCTGGTTCTAGGTATTTTCAGGTAGATCCTACTCATCCACGTGAAGAACTAGTACCACTACGGCCATCCCTAGCCAATAGGTGAAAAAAGCACTTGTTTGTAATTTTAATTCAAAGATCATGTTTCCTTCCATTTTTGTGCCATCATCACACATAGTCCTTTAATGTTCCAGGCATCTCCTCTCATGATCTATTCAACTAAAACAAAACAAATCCACTGTCATCGAGTCTGTTTCAAATCAGAGTGATCTGACAGCCAGAGTGGGACTGCTCCTTAGGGTTTCCGAGGCTATAAATCTTTCCAGGAGCAGACGGTCTCGTTTATCTTTGTCCCATGGAGCAGCTGGTGGGCTGGAGCTACCTTGTGATTAGTAGCCCTACAGTTAACCCACTGCACCACCAAGACTCCTTTTCTGTTCAGCAGGATGTGTTTAATCAGAGGCTGAGAATAATGATCTGTTTTTTGAATCAATCTCTTGCTGAAATGGCAACCTTTATCTGGAGTCCTGGTGTGACATCATAGGATAAGCACTCAACATCAAGCTCACGGTGAACCTCAAGGTCAGCAGTTCAAACTCACCAGCCACTCCTGGGAAACCCCACAGAGGGTTGTTATGAGTTGAAACCAACTGATGGCACTTAACAACAACTATCAGCTATACTAACAGCCACACACTAATAGGGAATAAAGAGATAATTTCTATATTTACATTAGTTTTTCAACAAAGCATCTGCAGTATAAAAAACAAAAACAATCAAACCTGCTGATATTGAGTCAATTCTAACCCTGTAGGACAGAGCAGAACTGCCCCATAGGGTTTCCAAGGCTGGAAATCTTTATGGAAGCAAACTGCTACACCTTTTTCCCATGGAGCAGCTGAAGGGTTTGAACTGCTGATTTTTAGTTTAGCAGCCAAACATTTAACTACTGCACCACCAGAGCTTCTTACCTCTACGTTGCTGTTGTTGCTAGGTGATATCCAGTCAGTTCTGACTCATAGCAACCCTGTATACAACAGAAGGGAACATTGACCAGTCCGCACCAGCCTCACAATTGTTCTGTTTGATCCCATTGTGTCAGTCTGTCTTGTTGAGGATTTTCCTTTTTTTCACTGACCTCTACTTTACCAAGCATACTGACCTTCTCCATGGATTGGTTCTTGATAATATGTCCAAAGTATAAGGGACAAAGTTTCATAATCCTTCCTAAGAACGAACATGTTGGCTGTATTTCTTCCAGGACAGACTTGTTAATGCCAGCAGTCTATGGTACTTTTGAAATTCTTCGCCAAAATCATAATTCAAATACATCACTTCTTCTCTGAGCTTCGTGATTCATGGTCCAGCTTTCAGTGCATCTGAGGTGACTGAAGATTCCATGGCTTGGGTCAGGTTAACCTTAATCATCAAAATGACATCTTTGTTTTTAATACTTTAAAGAGGTCTTTTACAGCATATCTGCGCAAATGCAATACTTTTATATAGCTTAGATTTTTCATGTGCAAAGACTCATTAAAGAAAAATTGCTTGTTTTTTAGATACGAAAGTCCTCTGCTGAAATGTTCTTCCCTTCTCCACCTAAACTTCCACGTACCAGTCTTGGGAAAAGAGGTCTCCACAAGACTGCTTCTTCAGTTAGCACTGAGTATATTTTTCATGACCGGGAAGAAGTCATTAAAGGCAACATCTGTGATCCCTTGACAATCATTAAAATAGTACGCGAAAATGCGGATCTTGGATTTCTTTATATGATCCCTGCTGTGGCAAGGTCTTCCATCGAGTATGACACATATAACCTGAAGTGAGTTCTCTTTTATTTAATATTGGAAACTATAAATAAGATCGCAGGTCGTAGCCTTCATTGATTGGGTAATAATAACAAATATGATCAGATTTAATTTTGGTTATCATTAGATGATCAGTGGATTCCAGATACAACAATTCTATTTATTTTTTCCATGTGTCTTTTAAAAAATAAATAATTTTTATTATTTAAGTATTAAATAATAAAATAATTTTAACTTAAATAATTAATTTTTATGGACTGTTGTTGTTAAGTGCCATCGAGTAGGTTCCAACCCATAGTGAGCTTGTATAGGGTTTCTGAGGAGCAGCTGGTGAGCTTGAACCACCGACCTTGCAGTTCAAACCAACCTTGCTGTCCAGCACACCAACCCACAATGCTGGTTATCATGCTTCTCATACACTTATATAATGTTATATGATCTATTTTGAGAACAGTTTTGGTACTTTCTGATTGCTAAGAAAAACCAGAGGGCAAAATATATAAAATGGATGAAGCATGAATTGCTTTACGTGCCATTTCCACTTTGCTAATAGAACAGTGTCTTAGTGGACTAACAGGAACAGAAATCTCTTTTCTCACAGGTTAGGAGCCTACAGGTTTGCATTCCTGGCACTGGCTCTGGAGGAAGGCGCGCTCTGTTGTCACTGGGAGAAGATCTCTTCCACTTCCTCTAGAGACAGTTCTTGATTCTCCATGTTGCAAGTATCTTCCCTGCATTTGTGCTTCCTTGTGCCTATGGAGTGGCCTGGTGGTACTGTAGGATAAACACTGAACCCATAAAGCTTTCTTGTTGTTGTTAAGTGCTGTTGAGTCGGTTCCAACTCATATCGACCCTGTATAGCGTTTCCAAGAAGCAGCTAGTAGGTTTGAACTGCTGACCTAGTGATTGGAAGATGGCAGTAGGTTTGGTTTGGAATTTAACTACTGTTTGTCTGATCCTTTAATATCTCAAAAGAGATTAGATTTAAGACACACCCTACACTGACAGTGGTCTCCTAAACATAGCAAAGAAAACTCTTCTCTCAAATGGTATTACGTTCAGAGTTTTAGGCTTAGGATTCCAACACATATTTTGAGAGACAAAATTCAATCCATAACAAGTAGAAGTAAAAATTAGTTTTTGAAAAAAACTCAATAACTTAGGGTGTTTTTATTGATGAATAATGCATATACACATACTTTCTGTCTGTTGTTAATACTGACCTCATTTACATCGCAAAGAAAAACTCTATTCTCAAATGGTATTAAATCCACAGTTATAATTCCAACACATATTTTGAGACATACAATTCATCCATAACAAGTAAAAATAAGATTTTTTTAAAAAACAAGAACTCAGTAATTTAGGTGTTATTATTGATGAAGAGTACACATATATGTACTTTGTGTCTACTGCTTAAGATACAATAATCAGAAGAGTCACAATTGTGACTCTATTAATTGCTTCCAAGTTCAGCACAATAGCTAATGTTGTTAAGTGCTGTCGAACTCAAAGTGACCCAATGTAGGTTTTCTGAGCCTATAAATCTTTTCGGGAGCAGTAAGTCTCTGGTGGGCTTGAACCACCAAGCTTGTGGTTTGCAGGCCAGTGCTTATCATACAGAGTCACAATAGTTAATGTTGTTAGGACCGTTGGGTTGGTTCTGACTAATAGCAACCCTGTGGAGGGTTTCCAAGGAGCTGCTGGTGAGTTTGAATTGTCCACCTTGTGATTTGAAGTCCTAATTCTACAGCACCACACCAATAGCTGATGGTGGTGGTGCCATGGAGTTGGTTCTGACTCATAGCTCACGGGAGCAGAAAGCCTCATCTTTCTCCCGCAAAACGGCTGGTAGTTTTGAACTGCTAACCTTGAGGTTAGCAGCCTGACTCGTAAACCAAGCCTGTTGGCTGTTGAGTGGATTCTGATTCACAGGGATTCTAGAGGGCAGACTACAACTGCCCTTGGAATTTCCATGGCTGTAATCTTTCTGCTTCAGACGGCCACATCTTTCTTCTGCAGCTGGTTCAAACCACGTACTTTTTGGTTAGCACCCTAATGCTTAACCATTGCACCATTAGGCCTGCTGTGATAGTGTTTGTTGTTGTTGTTAAGTGCCATCCAATCGGTTCTGACTCAGTGACCATATAGGATTTCCAAGGAGCGGCTGGTGAGTTTGAGCCTCCAACCTTGTGATTCTAACGGACCTTGAGGTCCAGTGCATTATGCCCCAGCACCACAGCAGACTCCTGGGATAGTGAAGTGTGGGGTTTATCATAGGACTTTCCTCTGTTGGCTATCTTTGTCTTACACTGATGGTGATAATATACCCACTCCTTATTTATCCAATGGTTAGGTTCCAAAGACCAGGTCATTAATGCCAAAACCAGTGTTATGTGCAAATGGGGGACAACTACATCACCTTACATTCTCAACTGTACTGGGACCATCCCCTCGACCTGTGCTGGGGTCGCCTGTCACTGCTGCTCCCCACTCGTAGTCTTCCAGAGTCCATTCCTTCCCCCAGGGTCCCCTTCCTCTCCTGACCTCACCATATTTTTAGGAAGTCGCTTCTGACTCATAACAACCCTTTATATGGTTTCCAAGGCTGCACATCTTTGTGGGAGCAGAAAACCTCATCTTTCTCCCACAAAGTGTCTGGTGGGCTCAAACTGTCAAATTTATGGTTCAGAGTCCAGTGCTTATCCTACAGAGCCTATGTGCTCCCTAGGTAGCCCCGGCTTATCCCCTCAATGATACCTTTGGTGGTTATGTTGGGAGCAGGTGACTCTCTGTCCATGGGCGAGAGGGCCTGGGTGCTGCATGGGGCAGGAAGCACGTTGTCTACTGGGTTGCCCCACCAGTCCCTCATGAAGTATCCCCTGGCTTTTACCTTGTTCCCCTCCACTCCAATGTCCTTCTGAGCATTGGGCTTTCTCTGAAGCCCATGATGGTCAGGCCCAGTCTCTGCCCTTGGCCTCAAATTAAGTTGCTGCAGGTAAGTCACTCACTGTCCCTACCCCTGCCCAGGTAGCCTGTCCCGCTGTCACCAGAAGGGAGCATTGAGGAAGCATAAGGTGTTGTGCATAAGGAATCCTGGTGGGATGCTATAGGATAAGCACTGGACTAAAAGGTCAGTATGAATCGCAAAGTCAGCGGTTCAAGGTTACTATGAGTCAGAACCAACTCCACAGCTCGAAACAGCAACCACAAGAAGATGCCTCGCAGGTGCCAGTCACCTGGTGTAGGGTCCTGTGAGCCCCAGGCCCAAGTACCCCATCTCAGGGCTGCTTCTGACCACAGTGCATCAATCCCTGCCACCCCTTGGGGCTGGGACGGGGCCAGACCCCAGGGCCCTGTTCTCAGCCCCAAGGGTGATCAGCCTTCAGGATACAGGCTACTGTTGCCCTGACCTCCGTTTCCTATAAGCACCTAGGACTCACCCGGAAGTGTCCCTTCCTAGCAGCCTAACTCCAGCCCTCCCTCTGCTCTACCTTGTACCCCTGTGAATTGGGGAGGCCATGACTTCTCCCCTTCTGGGCAGTGAAATACATGCCATACAAGCTTCCTTTATACTGCACACATGTCTGCCAGTCAGGCACCCTGTAAGGGGCCTTAGCATTTGTTACTACAGACGTGTAGCCAGCACACAAAACCGTAAGGCAGTAGAGAACTTTACTATTGTCTTAAATGAAGTCGGTCGATATTAAGTGAGGAGAGAAAGTCATTTCAGGAATGCAGTGGCTCCATATGATAAGCACTGGACTGGGAACCACAAGGCCTGTGGTTCAAGCCCACCAGCCACTCCACGAAAGAAAGATGAGGCTTTCTGCTCCTTTAACGATTTAAAGCCTGGAAACCCTATACAGGGGTTCTATGGGTCGGAACCGACTAGACAGCATTTAACAACAACAACAAAGGAGTAAATTCAGTTTGCCATCAAATTCACTGGAGTCCTGGTATGGCGTTGTGGGATACGCACTAGTCTGGTAACCACAAGGTCATCAGTTCAAACACACATTGATCCTTGGAAACCTTATAAAGGGTCACTATGAGTCAGAACCAATTTGGTGGCACTTTCAACAACAACCAAATTCATTGAGCGACCCTTCCCATAATCTGCTGCATAAAAAGGTGATCAGACCTTCTAAGAATTCTCTTATTGGCCCTTAGTCACCCCTGTGCTTTTGATTGACACAGTTAACACTTTGAACTGTTCCCCTGCTCAGTTGGAAATGACCAAAAAGGTCAGGGCCTTCCCTACTCTGAACTGCACATATTGCAAACCATGTGATTAAACGCAATGATTTTGATGCTACCTAGCTGGAGTCCTGGTGTGGTGCTATAGGCTCAGCACTGGGCTGCTAACCACAAGATTGGTGGTTCAAATCCACTAGCTGCTCCTTGGAAACCCTATAGAGGATCGCTGTGACTCGGAACTGACTCAACAGCACTTAACAGCAACAATAACAGTAAAAAGTAGCTAACTTGGAAGTTAAAAGTAGCAAATACTGACTCAGCATTACTAATGCTATTATACTGAACTCTGTTTTGAAAGTAATGTGATAAAATAGCTCCAGTATCTTCATACAATTTTTAAGTATGGTAAATGCATTTAATATGCAGTTCCATAATGTGTGTGTTTATAATGGTTTCTTGAAGCAAGAAAATAATTTCACTTAAATGTATTATTGAAAATGAATTTAGTGGTACGTGTGAGGCATTGACAGTTTTGTCAGGAATAAGTTCCAGAAGTCTACATGTGTTGGAATGTCAGTCTGGTAATAGACGGCCACATGCTGTAGATGATCTTGTGCAGCAAAAGAGTATTATAGATATTCTGGTGTGCCACCATGGTATATGGTTTTGCAGGATTGGGCGGTGTTTTGTTCTTTTGTACAAAACAACATAAAAGAACAGCTTTTTCCATGTAATTATGAGCTAGGAGTTAGACTGGAAAAGGTGGGTGGGATTTAGCACTGCCTGAACATTTTATCAATGTGCTAGGTAACTA